GACACCTCGTGATCACACAGGCTGGTGTGCTTCCTCCAAGTGGGCTTTGTTGCTTCTCAGCTAGATGACTGCTTGTTTACCTTCAAGCCTTTAAGACCCTGGATGTTATATCTTTTGATAGCCGGGCACCATCAGCTTTCTTCACGAGTTTTGCTTATGCACCCATTTGTCTTCAGCGATCGTGTAGGGAAGGTGAGCATAATGGAATGCCAGTTTAATAGAACAAAGTATTCTTGCATTGAGGGAATACTTGAGTGGAGGCCCAATGTCTATCTGCTACCTTAATACTAAACCTATAAATATATGCACACAGATCTATTTCCCTATCCCCATATATAAATATATTTACATATGTATACGCCTTTATTTAGACCTCTATAAATGCCCTTTGCCTCCTAGTTCTTTCCTCTATTTCTTTTTACTTTCCTCTTGTCCCACTATCATGGTCAGCCTTCATTTGGGTTTAAGTAATTCCTCTCGGTTACATTACCCTTGATCATGCCCTACCAGACTTCCTCCTATACCTTCCTCACCACTGATTTGGGTCACTTGTTGTTCCCTTGTTGCTAGATTTGTTAACACCGCTTCCTTTGCCCCCACCTCCCCTTCTCCCATGTCCCCCCAGAACTGTCGGTCCTGTTGTTTTCTCCTCCAGATTGTTCATCCAGCCTATCTTATTTCGACAGACATAGGAGAGGAATTTTCTATCTCCTTCAAGTGTTCTATGGAATTATTCAGTGTTGATTTTTTTTTATTGATTGATATCTGCATCTAAGCCATCAAGCCTGGCCCCCCCACGGCACACACACCTGTCTCGAGAAGTCGCTGTAGGAAGAGACTCTGCTTCTGTGTGTCACCGTTCTGTATGCATTCAAGTGGGTCAGCTTCCTATTACAGCTCTTGTCCAATTTCTGACTTGAGAAAAGTCCCTTGACAAACAATAATGTATAAATAAAACCCCAAATACCTGAAGGTTTTCACCAGGTCTCTGAGTCTTAACTACATCACAGCATCCCTACAGCCAGCACAACTCCCAAGACTCCCATGCGCTTCCATGTCTTTAGCCTGACTCAGCCTCTGCATGCTTTGGACCACGGATCTGGAAATCGAAGGCCCCTCACGAAGCCCCTCACATGAAACAATGTGATCATTTTGACTATGTGCTCCGTGAGTGTCCGCGCTTTTAAGTCGCTTTGTGGTAGTTGATTTTTTGTTTGTTTTGTTTTGTTTTGAATTGGGGTGTGTGTGTGTGTGTGTGTGTGTGCGCGCGCGCGTATTTTCTCCCCACTAACTTTTGTCATTTCTCTCTGAATACCGAGCCCACCACAGCTTTCCATCTGTAAACTGTTTTTCTGCAGTGTGTTGCTTGCGTTTTCTCTGTTGTCTTGCTGTGGACTTAGCCAATTTTTTTACAACTGTCATGTGCTTCTGCCACATCTACATTGTCACTGTGATGGTATTTTTTTCTTTCTGTCTGTTTCTTCCACAGGAGTTTAACCAGTAATCTGCCCAATGTGAACCTACCCAATGTGAACCTTCCCAAAGTACCAAATCTACCAGTTAACATCCCTCTAGGCATCCCACAAATGCCTACTTTTTCGGCACCGTCATGGATGGCTGCTATATATGATGCTGAGTGTGTATTCAGTTCACATTAGATCTAATTTAAATTGAAGTGATCTTGGCATGGATATGTATTGTTTATTTCTATACATCCTATATAACAGAGATGGAGATGGATAATTAGACATATTTTGCTGATCATACAGAGACAATATTGTTTATTTCTGGCATGTATCATGTTTGTAAGATTTCTCTCTATATACAGCACTAACAATTTGTCTTACGCCCACTGAATGTTTGAGAAACTATGTTTAATTTCCTGAATTCTTTTGCAAATGGATTACACCCTTCTGTTTTTTTTAGATGCAGGTGATATGACATTAGAAGTTACTCATTCACAAGCAGCCCGAGAAACGTCTTTAATGAGCCAGCTGGTCATCTGTGACCCAATATAAATCTAAGAGGAGGACAAACCTAGCTAGAAGTTTAGGGAGGTTATTTTGTTGTTATTTTGGTTGGTTGGTTGGTTGGTTGGTTGGTTGGTTGGTTGGTTGGTTGATTGGTTGGTTTTTAAAGAAATTAAGTCCTAAAGACTGTTGGAACCATCAAGCGTATTCCTGGGGTCACCAAATGGTCAGGTAGAGTGTAGCATGTTCAAGGACAACTGCTGACTTGGCAATGGACCAAGCCCTAGGCCCACGATCTTACAGGGAACATGGAGAGCAAAGAGGGT